GAAGGAAGGAAGGAAGGAAGGAAGGAAGGAAGGAAGGAAGGAAGAAAGAGAGAAAGAAAAGAAAAAAAGAAAATAGGTAATTGAATATGAATTCAAGTATTGGGTTTAAAGTTATTTCAGGCCTAGTTTCATTTCAAAATAACTCGGATTGTCTTACAATCTTGTATATGGCTCTTTTTCTTTTTCTTTGTATGTGTGTCATGACATCAGCAGCTTCCACAGTTGCCTCTCCCTTATTCCCTTGAGTCAGGGTGTCTCGCTGAGGCTGGAGCTTGCTAGGTTTTTGTTTATTTGTTCTTATTTTGAAGGTGTAGGAGCTAGGCTGACAACCAAGGCAAATCCTAGCAACCCTGCTTCTGCCCACACCCACTCCTACCTCCCATCCGTAGGACTCCAGGCACACAAGGCCATGCCTGGCTTTCCATTTGAGCACCACAGATTTCAGGTTCTAATGCTTGTGTAGCGTGGCCAAAGAGTCATGTGCATAACTATGGACTTGATGCTTACTTATGAACACTGGGGCTTTCTCTCTTTATTCTGAAAAGGTTATTCAGTGCATTGACTTCCTTTGCCCTGGTGTGGCTTTCCTCCTTATTTTCACGGGGACCCTTTGTCTGCTCATCACACCACAGTGGCTAACACAGGAACTGTAATGTGGATATACTGTAGGGGCAAAAAACCCTACTCTCATACATTTTTGTTTTGCCTCAACTTAAATCTTATATATCAAAGCCTGAGTAGTTTCAGAACAAACAGGAACTTTTCCTAATTCTAGCAGGATAGTGTATACGCTGCTTTTATAAAAACAGGTGTGGTAGTTTGAATGTGCTTGGCTCATGGGAAGTGGCCCCATTAGGAAATGTGGCCTTGCTGTGCAGTAGTGGTGCACGCCTTTAATCCCGGCGCTTGGGAGGCAGAGGCAGGTGGGTTTCTGAGTTCAAGGCCAGCCTGGTCTACAGAGTAAGTTCCAGGACAGCCAGAACTACACAGAGAAACCCTGTCTTGAAAAACCAAAAAAAAAAGGAAAAAAAAAAAAGAAAGAAACGTAGCCTTGTTGGGGTAGGTGTGGTCTTGTTAAAGGAAGTGTGTCACTGTGGCTGTGGGGTTTGAGACTCTTCTCCTAGCTGCCTGGAAGACAACCTCCTTCTGCTGTCTTTGAATGAAATAAAGATGTAGAACTCTCAGTTCCTTCCCCAGCACCATGTCTGCCTGGATGCTGCCTTTCTTCCTGCCGTAATGATAATGGACTGAACCTCTGAACCTGTAAGCCAGCCCCAATTAAATGTTGTCCTTATAAGAGGTGCTTTAGTCATGGTGTCTCTTCACCCCAATATAACCATAACTAGCCTAGATTCTCCACAGTAGGAATCCGTAATTCATGATAATAGCAAACTAAGACAGTCATGAATGCAGGCATGACAGTGATTTTCTTCAATGGGTAATTGCAGTATGCACACATACAACTTAGTACCTAACATACTCCATGTTAAAGAAACAGTAAGAATTTGAGAGGATTTGTGTGAGAGGAAGAAGTAAGAGAAGGACAAAGCCACAAATATTTCCACATGAGTATAGACAGGATGCTATTTACAGAATGCCTACTCCTCCTGGACCAGAAACCTCTTTACTGTAATCACCCAATAAACTACAATGGTTAACATTAAGGGTCTGATGCAGAGAAAGCAGATTCACGGTGAAGGTTGTCCTTTAACATGTAGGCTCCTTCAAGGGCACCAAAAAGTAGTTAAGTGGCCCCCCCTGTGGTGTCTCAGATGCTGAAAGTCCCTGAAAACTGTTAATTTTCTAGCTTTTAATGTCTGTCTAAGACCCTTAACATTTTTCTAATACTGTTGCTCCAAGGACATTTTCTTAAGTTTGACCCCCATTGCCACCTCTGCCCACATACATTCTGCATTTATATATAAAAGCTTGTCAGACAGCAGCTATAATTGATTCAGAAGGGTAACAGTGGACAACGTAAAAGGCAAAGAAAGAAAGAAAGAAAGAAAGAAGGAAGGAAGGAAGGAAGGAAGGAAGGAAGGAAGGGAGGAAAGCGTAGCCTTTAAAAGCAATATCACATAATATAACATGGAAATATTCATCGAATCTTCTAAAACACCACAACAAAACATTCCTTTGTGCTAAGAATTTATGTATCTAACACCAAGTATAAAGATCATATAACAGGATGGGATCACAGAGATTCAGAACCTAAGATGTCTTTGTGTCATAAAGTTTCTAAACCGTTTGAACATGGACAATCACCTGTGCCTTCTTAGCTCCATATAAATGAATATCATCACTTCATTGTTTTCTAGTCCTGTACACACTTTTAAAAGGCCATGAGAATTCACAAATGGTTTTCCTTATACTGCTTTGTATTGTTGCTGTTAGTTGTAATCTGTCTGGAAATAAACCGCTTACTTTCCTCAAATAAAAATGTACAAATTATATGATATACACACACACACAAAAGAATTCACAGTGAGCACATAGCAAATAGACATTAGGCAAAGTCTAACATCTGTACAAAACAACAATGCGTCAACTTCCGCCCAAGGGGCATGTTTCTCTAGTTTTACAACCCCCAGAAAACAGAGGTTTCACTAGAAAACCTACAGATCCTCAGCTGCTTTCAACATCATAATATATTCATAAGGCAAGCACTCATTGCCAAACATAGAACAAATGGAGTGGTATGAAGACAGGGTGAAACACATAACTATGAGAGATGGGTCAAGCCAACCAAGAGACAGAAGTAGAAGTCAAAGATGAAAAAGAATATGTAACACAGATAAGGCAGGTGTCCTGACCGACACCTGCAATCCCAGCACTCTGGAGGCTGAGTGCAGGAAAATAAGAACAAATATATAGCCTGACTAGTCTATACAGTGTGTTCCAGGCCAGCCTGGTCTAGACTATCTCTTAAAAAAACATATTAATAATATATATACACATACACACATATATTATACATATATACATATGTATATATATTATACACATATGTATAATATATGTGTGCATATGTATATATATATATGTGTGTGTGTGTATGTATATATGTAATATATGTATATACTATTATAATTATTTAAACAAAAGAAAGGTTAGAAGCAAAGCATTGTGGGTAGTTTTGCAGCCAATACTACCAAATATAGTGAATCCCTATCTATGTGGGTGCATTTGTTTGTTGCTTAAGATTAACGTTCAAAGTAGGATGCAAACCTATTCCACTGCAACGAGATAAGTAAGGATCAGTGTACTCTCAGAGGTCCCAAGTGAACAAAAAGAAAAAAGTCTTGTACAAAGAAAAGAAATATCACATACCATCATAGTAGACAATGGCTCCTACCAGCTTGTCCTTCTGGAGCATGGGGAAATGCTCGAGGGCTCTGGATTTGCTGAGAACGTAACTGCTCTTCAGGCAATGACTTCCTGCAACCAGATCATACATCTTGATTCCCACCCAGTAATAAGGTAACTGCCACCACCTACAGCACAAGCAGAGAGAGAAGATTTAGTTTAGAAACACAGCATTATAGAATGGCACTTTAACTTACAAAAAAGGGAGGGAGGTTGTTGCAGAGGGGGAGGGTGCAAGCGGTGGGGGGTAGCACATAGTTGCTTCTGGCGACACGCTAGCTGCCCATACAGGAGAATGGTGAGCTCTTATGACTATCTCCATGGTTCCTGCTTGCTCCATGATAGAATTGTTCAGGGAGCATCCAAAATAAATAAACACCCATGCCTGTGCCTCACAGGTCTAGAGGTGAATTCAAATAGTGTAGGATGGAGGCCTTGGTAAATGAGAACTACAACCAGGTTGAAGAAACCCTCAGAAATCTGTTAACCAAACAGGCACTGGGTGGTCAAATCTGTTTCAAGCCCTACATCACCCATGTGGCTACAAGAATGACATAATCCACTTTTCCAAGTAACTAGGGATATCTTCCTAGAGCAATCTCACACCCAGGTCTAACACCAGGGAAATGATTAATCACACCTCCTGGATGAATTTCATCTATGTTAACTTAGAAATAAAATGATACAGTATAGCTATTCTACACTGTAGTTTCAGATTTTGTATCAGGATAGTTGGGGGGGGTTGCATTTTACACTGCACACAGGACCTCATCTGAATGCCTTAGGGTAAACACAGCTGTTCACCTACATACTTGGAGAAACTGAAATAAGATTCCATTAAATATAAACACAGAACTCAACCTTCTTTGCCTTCAAAATCTGGCCCTTAGACGTAAATCCACAGAGAGTATTTAAGAAAATCTTCATTTCTAAATACACCAAGGAAAGTATTTGAAATAGATTAAAGATCGAGACCAATTAAAGCCTCATTAAGAAACACACACAGAAGGACTGTTTCCATGAGAAGCCTGTTGATCTGCTGACCTCAGACAAGCCCAGAGCATACAGGTGATGGCGAAGGCTTACTTGTAAAGTGGAAGCATTATAGGCAACGGAGCTGATAAATGAGGAGCGATTTCAAGTAAGTTGGCACGTTCATGAAGGGCTTCTTTCACCATCCTATACTGAAAATCAAAACAGAGAAAATTAGTTTGGCAGTAACAGATCATAATATTTTCAAATGGCAAATAGACACCCTGCCAACTGATTGATATACAGAAGCCTTCTACCTCTGAGCGAGGAGAGCTCCCCCTAATCAAATCTCTAATAATACATCATGCTGTCAACCTCAAAGATTTTTTAGAAACCTTAACTGTATTTGCATAGGAGAAAAACATGCTGTCAGAGTTCCCAGGTGTAAGATATTTTCCTGACTTGAGTTACAAGATTATTGTAACCATTTATCTTGCTTTCTCTGGATTGCTCCCTTTCTCCCTTTCCCAGACTGTTTTCTGGAAGTAAGAGAGAACAGATTGTTCAAATTCATGGCAGGTTCTCTGGCCTTCCTTAAACTCAGTAAAGATAGTATGTAGCCCTGGACAAGTATTTTACAGATGGTGTATTAAAAAAAAAAAAGAAGGAAAAAAAAAAGCCTGTCTTTACCCCCATGCCCTCCATTATGCCTGCCTAAAGAGCTAGCATTATCACTATAATATGAACTTTACACATGACAATAGGACTGTAGATATTCACAAAATAAGCCAGAACACATCAGGAATCAGCAGATCATGAATTCTGGCCAGTTTTCTTTGCCTCCATCACAGATGCTGAAGAGAAACATAAGAAAAGGGACAGATTCAAAGCTGACTTGTCAAGGCAAGAAAGGGGACAGGCTCAACACTTGACAATGGCAAGACCACGCTGCTGTGTTTTCCTTGTATGAAAAGCAGATATGGAAGGAAGCTGACTGTTTTTTTCCCACCCCTCTGGGAAATGTCATTTTCCACACTGCTTTAGCAGTCTTCAAATGATGGCAGGCTGGACACAATAAAGTGTGACACACAGAAAGCATGACTCAGATCATCTTTTTTTTTCCCCCTTGAAGAATATGTCAGTGACAATATGACTGCATGATTGCAGCTGTAGTTAAGAGATCAATTTGGTACTCTGCCGGCATCACAACACAGCTCCCCCAAAACTGCTCGCAAGTAGCAATTTGGTGGCCATTGGCAAAAATCCAATCACGATTGTTAAAAGCCAACACATCCAAAAGTGATTCTGTAAATCTGCTACTTTGACACGCTTGTACAGAAAAAGGCCTTGATTACCCATAAACATAATCCTATACAGAGCGAACAAGCACACTTCTCCTGAAAGACGCTCCAGTAGCATACACTACACAGGTATTTTAAATGGGAAGAAATGTTAAAAGCTATTTAAAAAAAAATGCCTGACTTAATTGGGTAGAAAAAACATAGTGGCAATTTTTGTTTAACAGCCAGCATACACAATTACCTGCTCAACATCCAAGTTCATGATAGCCTTCTGGAGGTATCGCACACCACCATGGATCAATTTAGTGCTTCTGCTGCTAGTCCCCGATGAGAAGTCATCTCTCTCTACAAGGGCTGTTTTCAGTCCTGTGTAACCAGAAAAGCAAATTAACTTCTTAAATTACACAATTTGTATGTAATTCATTAAAGGCACTTCTCCAGGGTAGAGACAATCGCTGGAAAAATTAGTCTGAACATGGATAAATTTGTATTCAAAGTGCAGTACACTGTCTATATTATAATGAAGAGATTTTAGGCGCTTCCTGAGGGACAAGTCAAGACTGAACTGGAAGCATATTAAACTGTGAATGAATCACACCTAGAAAACATTACCGTACGACTTCGTGGCAGCAAGATTCTCTGGTGTATTAGGGGATCAAAGGAGGGCCTGGCACCATCTTTTCCTCCATGGTGTCAATGGGTGCCGTTGCACAGCCTTCAGAATGCATGCCTGTCCCTCCCCACTGAGGACAAACTGCTCCTTTCCTGAACTCTGTGCTACTGTAATGCATTCACTAAAAATACCAAGTCAAACTCCTTCTGTGTTCTAGGTCCTACGTGCAAAAGCGCCTGAGACAATGATACAGTGGATAAGGGAATCAGGGATATAGAGGTTATAGTATAAGGAACACAGGCAGGGGGAAATAATTTCCAGATTAGAGAAGAGGAGAGGGCCTTGTTGGGTAAAATCCTTGTCATGCAAGCACACAAGCATGAAGACCTGAGGTTCAATCATTGGAACCCAAAAAATTAGGAATAAAGTAATAAATATCTATAATCCTACAACTCTTACAGAGAGACAGTAGATCAAGACAGGAAAATCCTAGAAACTCACAAGCCAGCTAGCCTGGTAAATAACAAGAGACCTGCTTCAAACGAGATTGTCCCTGACTTCACACACATGCACACACACCCATACCTAAACACAAAGATGAAAAATCAAAGAAGTTCTATTGTTGAGTTTACAGTGCAGTTAGTTTACATTTTATGTGTGATATACTATTTCGATATTAAAAAGAAATACAAGCTAGGATAAGTGAACTGGTCCAGAGTATCCATAAAGAAGGCAAACAGGCATGGGGATGAAAAGATAGCTCGGTGGTTAAGAGCACTTGCTACTCTTGCTGAGAAGACTTCAGTTCGGTTCCTAGCCCCCAAATCAGGTGGCTCATAACTGCCTGTAAGTCCAGCTCCTTGAAAAAGAATGTCCTCTTCTGGACTCTGCAGAACGTGCACTCACCCTTAATTTGTTCTGTACTTCATACAGAGGAGGATACCACATATACACACACACACAAACACACACAAACACACACACACACACACGCACACACACACACACACGCACACACATACATACAGAGGGGGAGGAGCGAAGGAGAGAAAGAAAATTTTTTAAAGATAATATTCTTTCTAGGATGAGGTTGAACAAAAATAGGTACATTCTACAAGCCATCCCATCCCCTGTATCCAAAACTACTTACTACAAATCTCTTAGGGGGAAAAAAATCTACTTCTGATTTCTTTTCTTGGAGAAACACCCTGCCTTTTTAAGGCTTCAGGTGAGCAGCAGTGGTAAAAGTACGTGTCGTACAGTAGGTGAGTTTTTCAAGTTCACAAGCCCTGTGGTATCCATCCACAGGCATCACTGGGAATGTCCAGGAGCTGGCTACTCCCTTAGGCAATTGGTTAAGTCACAGGTCAATTCACAATCATAACATGAGACAGAATAATTTGGACTCACAAAGCTAGGCTAGGAGAAAGTGCATGCATTCGGTTCAGAGCCATTTAGTGCCAAAGGGTTGCTTTGATAACATTTAACAGTTTAAAATCTGAACAGAAATGTCATCATAAAGCCAGAGCAATTCTCTTGACTTAAAAGAACAAAATATTTGGAAACAATGAAGATCTAAAAGTAGAGATGTTTGATTCAAGATCAAACACTGCCAGTGTCCAAACTAGGAAAAAAAAATCAAAAATCTAAAGTGCTGTCAACGCATATCACTGCTCTTAGACACACATCCCAGAAAATGTTCTACAACATTCTAATTAAAACATTACTAGCACTTAATTTGTTCTGGGTGTGCTACAGACGGGATGATAGCAAGATAGTAGTATGGACTCTGGCTATGAGTGCACATGGACCAGCTGTCAAGTGGCTCTGCTCAGGCGAGTGAAGAGGCACAGAGACTCACCAGGGCCTCCTTCAGAGGAGAGAAGACCTGTCTTACTCCAGATTAGAACCTGAATTCAGGGCATGAACTCAGACTGCATAGACTCAAAATCACATTTGCCGACCTCTTCCACACACACTCTACCACCTCTACTCAGTAAATCCGACAGAGATCTTTTGGTATTCTAAATTAGTCCCTTTTTTTCTTCAGTTGAAGATCAGACGAGGGAGTTGACTTTCAGATGGTATTTAGGAGCCACATTATTTTAAATATGCCTCTCTTTAAAACCTAGCATCACAGTTATTACATCAGGATCCCTGTAACCAGGAAAGGAAGGAAAATGAGCCTAAGAGAACTAGACCTTCCTCTTCCTATTTGGGCAACCTCAAACGTCCCCTAGGCTGTGATCTCAGACCTCCCCAAACAGTCCTCACTGAGTGTGTCCTATGTGCACTGCCCCTCTCCCTAGCAGGAGAACATAGTAACTCAGTAAGCCCATCCCCTCCTCCTCCTCACCTCGGTCCCTCCCTATGCAAACACTTGCTCTGGTGAAACAAAGTGTCATATGGTATGAGTAGAAACAAAGAAGCCCCAAATGACAGGTCATCAGTAGGCCAGGCCTTAGTCCAACAGCTAGGGAAACTGCCCCGCCAGCACCACGTGTGCCACAAAGAGACACTGCCAGTGGATACACAGAGCCACAGACCCAGCACAGGCTCACTCCCTGTGACTCCTAAATATCCCAAATGAGATGATGTGGGTATTTTTAAACCACTTAAATCTGGGAGGGGCTTTACTGGTAACAAAATTCCTGTTCAAGAAACCAGTGATGACCATTTGGATGGGTTTTTTTTTTTTGGTTTTTTCATATTTTACTTATTTTATTTTATGTATATTTCTGTGTGTGTGTCTGGGTGTATGTATGGGCACCACATGTGTACAGTAACAGAAAAAGTCATACATACACACAGGGACATACACAAATACACCTAAAACATTCAAAACATCCGCTGGAGTTATGGATGGTTGTGAGCCATGATGTGGGTGCCAAGAACCAAACCTGAGCCATCATGAGTAAACATTCTCAACTGCTGAGCCATCTCTTCAGCAGCCCAATTTAATTTTAATCACTTCTGGAGAAGCAGCCTTCAGCATGAGCTGAGTTCATAGAGCCTTGCTCAAGATGGATGGCTGAGGTGGCAGGCTTAGGCTAGCTTAAAGAGGCAAGTTGAACATACTACTATCACCTGTAATTCCAGTCCTAGGATGCTGAGGCTGGAGAACTGTTGAAGAGAACTAGCCTGAGCTGTACAGTGAAAAACCATGGAAGAGGAGAGAGAAGGAGAAGAATCAAGGGGAG